CAGGCCTGCTGTTCGGTGAACGGGTGTAGTCTTGGCAAGTACTGGATGATGGCAGCTCACGATTGTTGGCAGCGTCTCTGCGCAAGCCAGGTGCAATAAAGCCACGAGCGATACCAAAGAGTTCCTGGAAAGCCTCTCGAATCGGCCGAGATCGTCAGTGATGCCTCCGTAGGTCTGGCCGAGAGGGATGACGGGCTGGGAACGAGCGACGACGGCGCGGTTATCGTACTGGCTGTTGGCCCACTGGGGACGCTTAGGGCCGGAGTGATTGAAGCCACCATTCTGAACATCCTGCCAGCCCTGGGAACCACCCCGGGAGCGAGGATGACCGTGGTGTGGGCCGGGAGACTGGTTGGGTCCGTAGCCACGCTGGTGCTGGCTCCAAGACGTGTTCGACATTTGGACAATGGCATTGCCGTGGCCCGAGCCGCTGCCACTGCCGCTGCCGTTGAGACCATTGTGACCAGGATGGAATTCCGGGGCCTTAGGCCGGAAGGCAGGAGGGCCGGAGCGAGGACCAGCTCCGCCATGCTGACCCATGCGGCTCATGGGGCGACCGAACACGATGGCCCCGCCGCTGTTGAAGCCGTTCTGGCTGGCAGGAGTGGCGCTGCGCATGATGGTACTGCCGAGGCCGTTGATGCTCTCGGGCATGCCCCGGCTGTTGGGTCGGGTCCACGAAGGAGGCTGCATGGTGCTAGGGAGGCCGTTGCCGCTATTCTTGATGTTGAGGGGCGAGAAGGCTGACTCGCCGGCAAAGGTCCCTCGAACCATGTCACGGTTTCCATATGAAGAAACGAGATGCATGTTACTGCCACGTGTGGGAGTCACGTTGGCGAGATCAGCGACATCGAGGGAGGGCAGGTTGGCAGGGTTGGTCTCGGTCGAGCCAGTTCCATTCACACCCTCCTGAGCCTGCGCCTCTTGAAACTTGGCCATGGCCTGGTCGATGGCAGTGGGCGCCTTGCTGTCAGGCTCAGGTTCGATGGAGTGACTGGCGCTCAGCTGTTCCTTCAGGGTCTGCAATAGTGACAGTCAGTGGGAGGTAAAAGTTGGATACATGCTAGCGCTACTCACAGCGATGAGCTCGTCGTTGATCTTGATCTTCGCCTCCTCCTCTTCATTGGGAATGAGGGGGAGCCAGAATGACACGAATCTCGTTGCGATCCTTTTCAGCGTCGGTATGGT